CAGCGTCTCCAAACCCAACCCCCGACCCTCTTTCCAAAAAAAACACCTACCGTTCAGCTGCAGGAATCTCATGAGCTCCGCTATCTGCCTGCCGATGCTGCAGTAGATGGCGTGTCTGTCAGTCTCCCGAGCTATCATTCCGCCAGTAGCAGCTTCCCCCCCTGCTCCGTTGCCAATAAAGAACGCGTCGCCGCTGCGGCCAGCGCTGTAGCCGTCCTTTTGCGACGGCCGCAGCTGTCTGGCGTCGAGGAGCAGCTGCGCTAGCTCGCCCTGCTTGGACAAAAAGAAGAGCACCACTTTCTCCACCTGCACGAACCATGGGACAGGTGGGGGGGGGGGGNGGGGGGGGGGCGCCGGACGATCATTTTCGTGGGGACGTACGGAATCCTGGGCTTTCTTGTACGGTAGAATCTCCCTCCCGGTTCGTTTCAAGTCTCTTTCTCCCCTCGCTGGCATGCAGGAGGAGGGTGCGGTTGACTATTGGGAGACTCCGATCGAGCTGCTTGTTCACGGGAACTTTCATCCGTCCATCATGCATCAGACGGTTGTTGCAATGGTGCTGCTGTTTCGGTTGGCGTACGTCCTGCTGTCCTCCTGTTGTGGGCCGGGGATCGATGGAAGATATCTACACCCGTCACGTTCCATTGATGTTGAACTAATCCTGACCGATTTCACGAATCGGGCATATCACCTTCGAACAGCTTCTGTGCCTTAATAACCCATCAACAGATGTTTTGATCGTTCCTCGTGGCATGAGGAACAAATGAAAGTGTATGAAGTCATATCTCGTTCGAGCGCAGCCTCGCGCATTTCGTTCTTCCCCCCAATCGAGGGTAGAAACTTCCCACCAATCTTCAGCAACAAACTTGATGGACCAAACAGTTCTCCATGGACACGGCCACAACACAGGACAAGAGACACAAAAAGAAGGGGGGTGTACTCATAGTCGTGCATGCCGTAGTCGTTAGACCATTGACCTCGCATCCCTACAAAGCCGGGACGGAGCACGCCGGGTTCTCACCGGACCAGGCTCTCACATCACCAAGCGCGAAGCGCCGTGAGATATTCGGCGAGTCGCATGAAGGGTGCGCTGCATCCTGCTAAGGGTGTTCGGCATCTTGTGCTTACTTCCTTGCGTACGGATGACAGCTGCGTATGGATTAATTTATTTTCTGGTGCTTTCACTTCCAGAGACAGTTGTAAGCACTGTGTAACTGCCTGGAGGGTGCTTGACCATTTTAACACAACGTGGTGCGATCATCCCCCTTGCGCGGAGCGGGTTCTCCACCCCGCACAACATGATCTACTCGACACCCATTATGGTTACCGCCAAAAAAAAAACCGGAGGTAAAAAAAAAAACGGTAACCTGGTTGCCGAGTTCACGAAGTGAATTGGCTTGTTTTACAACGTCTTTACCAAGCGACGAAAACCCAATCCCGATGGCAAACACCGGGGGGGGCGGCTTGTTTTACAACGTCGTTGCCAAGCGACGAAAACCCAACCCCGATGGCAAACACCGGGGGAAGGGGGAAAAAAAAAAGCACGTTGTGGTGGATGGAAGGTATTTCACGTTCCGGTCGCTTGATACTCGCATTATACGCATATCCATACGGAAAAGGTTTCAAGTCAAAAACCTTACCCGAATCCCACGTGGGGGTGGCACGTCTTGCTTTGATGATGGCACAACATGTCGAAAAACAAGCACAAGACAAAGAAAGATATACTAGCTGTCGCTACAACGAGCGACAGCTGATATGATAGGTGAAACTGTCGTCAGACGTGTGCCTCCATGGGCGGAATCAGAGTGCAAACACCACATTGATACTACACCTACCTGCTGTGCTGGTGTGAGATCTGTGGTCAACTTTCACCTAACGGTTACCCCCCCCCCCGTCCACATCCCGCTTTCGTGCTCATACATACCCCGCGCATACTAGTGCTGATCCCCCTGTTCCCTCTTATTTTGTTCGTTGTTTTTCCAACTGCCAGCGAAGCAGCAGGGCACAAGTCAGTTCTCGTCACCTAGCGCACCAATCGTCATGGCACCACTTCGAGCGTGTGCTCCATTGCGATATCTCGGGGCGTGACAGTTGTGTAAGGCATGGGTGCTGTGTGTGGGAAGATGTTCGTGGCGGCGTGGAATCCAAATTGTGTTTTTTGGCCCGGGCAATGGGGCCGCATCGCCAGGCGAAAGTGCCAAACCGGATTTCACATCGCGACGATGCTCTCGCCACATACAGCACCCATGCCAAACACAACTATCACGTCCAGAGACACCACAATGGAGAACACGCTCGAAGTGGTGTGATGGCCATCGGCGTCCTAGGTTTCGATAACTAATGTGGTGCTGTGCTCACATTGCTGGCAGTTGCATGCGGCGGTAAAAACAAACATGCGCGACAGAGCAATACATAGTCTCATCACACCACAGAGAGTCCAGCGGCATCGAGCCCAGATGCTGTCGCCCGCTGTGCGTGTGTGTAGCCTGTTATGCATGCGCTGTCTGCTGTGCGTGTGTTGTCTGCTCTGTGGTGTCGCCCGAAGTCCCGCAGTGCGTGTGTTCTTCTGCTGCAATCCGCTGACAGTGTGCTCCGAAAAAAACAAAGTGCATCTGCTGAATCCTGTAGTCTAAAATCAAGTAATGTAGTCTAAAACCAAGTTAAAGCGAACAGACAGACGTGCAAACTTTTTTTTTCTGACTTGAGGGGTATATTCCAGGCGAGATTAGAAATCTCGCTTCGCTCAATAAAAAATCTAGATGAGAGGGACAGCGGGACACGTCTGTACGTACGTGCGGCACCAAACGCGCACGCGCATACGTACGTACGCGCTAGACGAACGTGCATGTGTGTGCGGGCCACCACTTTGTGGAACGCTCCTTTCAGAACATGCTCCACATTCTAATGACGCGGTGACTTGTTTTGTGTCCTTATTGTAAGGACAAGAATATAGGAAACAACAGCAGAACAGCAGAACATGTTCCATTTTCATGACCACGCGAAACAGGAGTAGTTTGAAAAATCTTTCGCTTGAAGTAGTACTTCGAAATAGTTTGTGCCGCTGTACCTCCGAATCGAGCGTCGCCTTGAAGTTTCCCTCCACCTCGTCGACGTCCTCGCCCACCTCCAACGAATAGGATCTGGTGAACCTTCTCCTAAGGGATGATCTCGCCCCCCCTCCCCCCCCTCCGCCTCCCCCTCCGCCGAACGTCGCCGCCAGCGAATGACAACTCGTCGCCGAGGTCACGAGAGCGGTCTCCCCCCCCCCCCCCCCCCCCCCCCCCCCCCCCCCCCCCCCCCCCCC